GCGGGCAGCGCCCGGGCCCGCGGGCAGCGCCCGGGCCGGCGCTGAGCCCGTCCCTCCTGTCCCGCAGCTGGTGGCGCTGGCCGCCCTCCTCTGCTTCGTGGCCTCGGGCGCGCACAGCGCCTACACGGCGCTGGCCGGCATGGAGACGGCGATCACCGCCCTGTTCCTGCTGATCTACCTGCTGAGGCTCGACGCGCGGATGCGCTGCCTCTTTTGGCCGCTGGCTGTGAGTACCCGTGGGCTCCGAGCGCGGGGTGCTCAGGCTGTGAGTACTGGTGGCTGTGAGTACCCGTGTCCCCGGCCGTGAGTATTAATGGACTGGGTACCCATATCCCCTGGCCGTGGTACCAATGTCCCCTCGCTGTAGGCTCTCCTGTCCCCTGGCTGCGGATACCACTGTCCCAATGTCCCCTGGCTGCGGATACCACTGTCCCAATGTCCCCTGGCTGTGGGTTCTGCTGTCCCCTCGCTGTGGGTCATGCTGTCCCCTGGCTGTTAGGGCTGCTGGCTGGGAGCAGCGGCCGGCCTGTGACCAGCAGGGATCACCTGTCCCAGAGGATGTTTTCCGTGGCTCAGTGATTGTTTCTGTACAGGTAAGGCAAGCCCCAGTGTTCTGTGGAGGTTGAGGCAGTTTATTCCTAAGGGAGTTTTGTTCCATCAGTTCCTGGACGGCTGCTGGATCCGATAACAGCCCCTCCCTGCACTGTTTGTCTCGCTGTGTAACATCTTCATATCACAAATTAGTCACACATTTTCACTCAAATACTAACAAGTTCTCTTACCTCCCTTTTGTACATGTATTTGCTGCTTCAGACTCTCAGATGTAGCCAAGTTGCAAAAATTTGATGCAAAAACAGCAGAAGAAAGGTAAAACAAGGAACTTTTACTATAAATGCTCTTTTTGTAACCAAACCACTGGGTGTCAGTGTCCTCTCACACAGATATTGCTGTAACTGTTTTCATGGCAGTCGAGCCGTTTTTAACTCCCTTCTCTGCTGGGAGCTCTCCACACTCTCCTTCAGGCCTGTATTTCAGAATAAATATTTTGCTTCCACTGGCTGTTTCAGGATATTTTCAACTCGGTGATTGCAGCGTTGTTCCTCCTCGTTGTGTGCTTGTTTGCAATAATAATCAAGACCAACAAGGGGACATTGGCTGGAGGAGTAAGTAGGAACATTGTTAATGAATTTCAGTTCTTAGAGTGCAGCGATTTGAACACATTGTGGTAGGACCATGCAAACAACTGTCTTGGAAGAACACTCTCAGCAGTAGCAAACAAGATACATTCAGAGTATCTCACTAAAAGAAAATAATCCTCACATCACAAGTAATCTAAAGATGTTACAAGACTTAGGAATTACTGCAGAGAAATATAGAAACACTGAAAATTTCTAGAGGTTATTTTAGTAACCTACATTTGCTATCATAGCTGAAATCCTAGGTGGGAGAATCCCTAGCACTTTTAGGACTACCCAGTATGGTTACTACTTGAGAAAAAAATGCCAACTGTCCTAAAAAGAGTTGAATCTTTTTAACAGACACGCTGGTACCTCCCTCCTGGCATGTACATTGTTTTTTCTTACACAACCTGAGAAATTATGTCAGTTAAAAAGGGGTTTTGTTTGTACTGTGATTATAAGAATTTCGTGTTCTTAAGATGAAATCAGTTTAATAGTTTAAGTAAATGGTGTTTTTCATTCAAAAGGCAATTAATTTAATTAACCTTAAAAAACAATAAAGAGGGGAGGAAAACCCTTCCATTTTGAAAGTCTCTAGAAGTACATGATAAGCTGAAATGTGACAAGCAACCAAAAGTAACCTAAAGCCTGCCACAGAGCTCTTTCAAACAAAAAGGAGACTTTCTGATAGAGTGACTGTGCTGGAATAGAATTTATATTCTCAGTTGTGAAGTTCACAGAAATTAAAGGTGGGAGCAGGTAGCTGGGAACATAAGTTTGGGTGGAACATGTGACATCTTCATTTCTGGGAGGGACAGAATCACCCCCAGCCTGTTCTGAGGCACAAACTGCCTGAGCTGTGCTCTCCCAAGAGCTCTCCTGAAAATAACTCCCCTCATCAGATAATTCAGTGCTTTCATAAAAAACCGCAATGTGCATGTGGGATGGGGCTGAAGGGCAGGAGCTGAGTGAGTTAACTCAGTGGCTTCTCTGCAAACACATTTTTCCAGTTACTTGCCTGAGGTTGTCTTACTTTTAAAATAATTTAGTACATTTTCTTCAATTTCGAATATGTTTCCCATTCAGAGCTTCAGAGGAAAAGAGCGTTTTCCTGCTGGGCTTGTTTCTAGGAATACTGACTTTTCCCTTTGAGTTTTCTCAGGGCCAGTCCCATTAATTAAGCAACCCCTAAAGAGACAGAAGGGCTTTCATTTAAGACAAAAAGCATTGTCTGGCATAATGCAGCATTAGCTTAGCTTTCAGGGAGAGCACCATACTACCTCCAAGGCCTGACACAAACATCAAACAGAGCAGGCTGTAGACAGCTCTCTGAAAGGCCAATGGGATGTAAATGTGGGTGTTATTTAATTTATCAGCTGTTTCAAATCACATACATTTTCAAGGCCAGAACCAAGTTAGGAAGATGTGTTTACTGATGAGTCACTACAGTACAAGTTCGAGACTGATTGGGGGAACTAATTTTATGGTAATTTTTATAGGTGTTGGGTCTTATGTTGCTTGTTCTCTGCATTGTCGACGTGGTTCTTCTTTACAAGAAGATTAGTCTTGATAAAGCAAGAGGAAGGAGTGCTCCTGCCAAATAAGAATGACACGTTAGTGAAAGAATGAGTTCTCCATTCTGTTTTTCCACTCTCTTTTAAAGCATTTGTATTTTTGTGTGCTCAATTTTGAATTTCCTGTGCACTGATGTTTCTGCAAGTATCATTCATAAGGTTTTGTACTTTTCCAAATGCAGTTTGAGCATTGCGATTTCACCAGTTAAAGCTTCAGTGAAAATTGTCATGTTTTTCTAAAATTACTTCTGTTTTTACTGTTAGAAAAATTATTGTCATGGTTGTCTTCTTTCTTTAATAAAAAGAAAATACAAACGGGCTTAAGTGCATTATTTAATCTTATTTCTTTAGTAAGTGTAAAAAAGTACATTAGAGTAAATGTACATGGTATAGTAAAAATGACCCAGTAACCATCCTTCGGAAAGATTTTCTTGTGCCATGCGAATTTCACGTTAAAGCGTTCGCCGAGGCATTCGGATCCTGAGATTCCAGCCTTGAGCGGCGTTTGGCCGGGGTGACCTCCAGCGGCCCCCGCCGTCCGCAGCGCGGGCGGTTCTCTGTGCTCGGTGGCGGGGCACAGGAGGCGCCCTGGCCCCGGTCCGGTCCCGCAGCACAGCGCGGGCCAAGCCGCGCTGCCATTGTCCCAGGGCTGGGGGCGGGCGCTGGGGCCGCCCCCCACAGCTGGGGATGCTGAAGCTTTTTTTCACGCTTCCGCAGTGTCACGATTTCCGCTTCCCTCCTTCTGAGAGGGAAAAAAAATTCCACGGCCAACCCCCTCCCCCGAGCCTGCTCCCGAGCCGGGCTCGAGCTCAGCCCGATCTCGCCCGGCCCGCCCGCGCCGCGGCCATGGAGGACCCCGAGCCCGCGGGGGCCGCACCGGCGCCCGGGCTGAGCTCGCTGCTCCCCTCCCGGGAGCTGCTGCGCTCCCGCAAGGGGCAGCTGCTGCTCGCAGAGTCGGTAAGGACGGGACACCGGGGCCGGGGCTGCGGGAGCCACCGCCCGGGCAGCCGGGACCCGAGCGGGCTGCGCCGGACCGACCCGCCCCGGGCCGCTCCCCGTG